TCAGGAAAGGGCGGTCCTGCACAGATACCATATTTTCTGTCCGTCTGCTACAGCAGAGGTGTAGGGAATTCCAACAAAACCTACATCTCTGCTTTATTGACCTGGTCAAGGCCTATGATACCATCAGTAGGCCTGGGCTCTGGGTTGTTCTTCGTGCTTTTGGAGTACCTGATCCTTTGCTCACGATCATTAAGGACCTTCATGATGGTGAGCGGGCCCGGGTAAAACTACGTGGCCGGGAGTCAGAGCCATTCCCTGTACACCTTGGGGTGCGACAGGGATGTCCTCTGGCTCCCACATTATTTAACATCTATTTTGACCACGTAGTTCGTGAAGCCTTCAATAGCTGTACCGGGGGAATCTCCATATGGTACAGATATAATGGGAGGCTGATCGATGCCCGGGTGCGGTCAAGGGATGGCTCCCTATTGCTCAACCACGTTATGTATGCTGATGATTTGGTAATAGCTGCTCAGTCAGAGGAGGAGTTGGAGACGCTGCTGCTGAGACTGCAGCGTGCCACTAAGAGGTGGGGCCTTACCATCAGCCCCACCAAGACTAAGAACCTGCCTGGGTATTTTGTACCATCGGACACTCCACCCCCACAACTCCCAATCGGTGATGGGGCAGTTGTGGAGAGAGTAGAGAGTTTCCCATACCTGGGCAGTGTGCTTATGACTGGCTCCAGTTTAACAGCAGAGGTCTCACTCCGAATCAGTCGAGCGGCAATATATTTTCATCGGTTGCGTAACGCTGTGTGGAAGCTACCTGGTCTGTCGCTCCGCACTAAGCTTCAGGTCTTCTCGGCCACGGTCATTGCCTCCCTTCTCTACGCTTGCGAAACGTGGACCCCCCTAATGGAACATCTTCGCCGGTTAGAAACATTTAGGCTGGCCTGCCTACGATCCATCCTGGGTTTAACTAGACTGGATTGTGTGAGGAGCTCAAAAATCCTTGAAAGATCTGGGCAAGGTCCCATCGGTGAGCTCCTCTGGCGGGCAAGGCTGCGATGGCTGGGTCATGTAGCACGCATGCCCAGCCACCGCATGCCGAAACAGCTTTTGTTCGGCCGGATTGAGGGGGCTAAGCGGGCGCGGCATGGGCTAGAGAAGAGATGGAGTGATGCGGTACAGGACGTGGAGCTGAGTGGACTTGCCGATGACTGGTACCAGCGGTGTCAAGATCGGCCTCTGTGGAGGAGGCTCGAGAAGGACGCTACTGGGCAGTTGGAGGTAGTCGCTCTCCAACAACAACGGAGGGTGCAGGAGCGACGCTCAGAACGAGCGGAGCGCCGGGTGGCTAAAGCACAGCAGGTTGGCACAGTAGGGGGCACAGGTGGTGCATCAGCCAGTCATCTCAGTCAGTCGACCCGTGGCACCTGGGTCTGCCCCGTGACCTCCTGCCAGCGGGCGTTCGACACTTCACGTGGCCTCAGGGTGCACATAGCCTGGCACAAGCGTCGTGGTGACGTCACCGCCACTTAGTTGCGAATGGCGGTTGTTGTTGTGTAGGTCAATGTGTGTGTGTGCGAGTCGCTGTGTGTGCAAGTCGATGTGTGTGGCTCGATGTGTGTAAGTCGATGTGTGTAAGTCCATGTGTGTGTGAGTCGCTGTATGTGTGTATGTCGATATGTCTGCATGTAACTGGATGTATGTGTGGCTCTATGTGCGTCTGTGAGTCGATGTATGTGTGTAAGTCGATGTATGTGCATTGATCCATATGTGTAAATCCATGTGTGCGAGTCGATGTGTGTGTGGGGAGCGGTAGTGTAGCGGTTAGCGCGCTGTGCTACAAACCTGGCGACCCGGGTTCGATTCCCGCTCACGGCCAAAATCAGTGACGATTATATCTGAACCGGTCCTGGGCCTCCCCTAGGTCGACTCAGCCTCAAATGAGTACCTGGTGTTAGGGAGACAAAGGCGGCCGGGCGTAGTGTTGGCCACCCACCCCTCGTGTGTCGTGCCGGCCTTAATAGGTGCTCGCTAACAGCACTTGCCCCCACAGTCTGTTAAGCCTATACGGGCATCTTTGTTTATCTTTGTGTGTATGTGTGTGTGTATGTGTAAGTCGATGTGTGTATAAGTGCATATGTGGAGGTCGATGTGTGTGTGGGGAGAGGTCGTGTAGCGGGTAGCACGCTGCGCTACGAACATGGGGACCCGGGTTCGATTCCCGCTCACGGCCAACACCAGTGACGATTATCTGAACCGGTACAGGGCCTCCCCTAGGTCGACTCAGCCTCAAATTAGTACCTGGTGCGGTGTGTAAACATCACTAGGGAGACAAAGGCGGCCAGGCGTGGTGTTGGCCACCCACCCCCTCTTGTGCCGTGCTCGCAAACAGCACTTGCCCCTACAGTCTATTAAGGCTATATGGGGGATCTTTGTGTGTGTGGGTCTATCTCTGTGTAAGTCGGTGTGTGTGTGTGTGTCTTTTTCGCCCGGGGCAACGCCGGGTACTTCCCGCGAGTAAACTATATGTTACTGGTACTGACCAAAACATCCCAATGTTGACATTACCTGCAAGTTACTCAACTGGGATCACACAACAGCAACATTGGCCCCGACTGAAAACTTGGCAGGTGCCTCCTGAAATAATCATGAGATTGAGACTTTGTTTGGTAAACAAGAGAAGTAATAGCAATAATACAACTCATTCGGTATATATTTTTTGCGGACATTTATTTTCTTTTTATATATACGTCAACAATTTATCAAGTCATTGTGAAGAAATTCAATGTCACTAAACCAGCAAGCAAATGTTATGTTAAACACATTTTAAGCTTTTTGTCTAAATGTACTTTAGTCCTAATTCCTCCTTTTAACTTATAAAACGCATCCCTGAACAGGGCACCCCTGAAAAACGTCCCCTTTGCTGCTCACAATCCCAACACGCACCCCTCTATCAACCTGCAGAGCAACCGACACAGCGTGGCCTCTTGAGTTGATACTTTGATGAATGCAGAGCAGCGGAACTACTGTCAAGCCTAACTCACTTGCCAACCAGTGATTCACTACAGTTCTTTAACATATAAAATATAAAACGTAACAACTTTGTCAACAGGTTCTGTTGATGCAAACCAAATTTCATATTTCTCTGTTAAAGGTCACATGACCTAGCTAATAATGCAAGTGGCTTGCTCAAGATACAAAACACTTAATTGGCATGGCTGTATGCAAGATATGTTAAGACAGCAGTGACCTGACATTTTAAACCATTGGTGACTCACCGCACAGGCAAGTGCTTGTTGAGGATGCATGAGCATCTGTTGAAGTTTCTGCTTGAAACATTGTCGTGGAGCAGAGATGGAGCCTGTGAACCGGAGTTTGGGTATGCAGGTTCAGGTAACCTTCAAGACGCCTGTTTGTAGAACAGTTCTGCACTTGGCAACGTGCATGAGCTTTTCATAACCGTACTGTGGAGGTGTTTGTGGAGGTGTTTCTGGAGATGTGGGGAGTTTGGATCAGATGCTGGTGGAAAGTGGTTGGGAATAACACCGTGGGACAAGCTTGGGTTTGTGGTGCTAAATTTAATGAGTCGACATCTGATGAAGATGTTACAATGGCCATATTATCTCAACTCTTCTTTTGAGTCAGTGGTCTGGATAAGGCTGAGAGCTTGTGTGCATTGTTAAAATGCTTGTTTTGTGCTGTCTGGCAAAGATAGGTTGTGTTAAATTCTCACGGTTAACTTGAATCCTGTTTCGATTTAAAGCTTTCGTGACTGCAAGGATTCATCTTCTTTGGTTCTTTCGGTAAGGTCACGTAGAATGAGAATAAAATAAAAAAATAACACAATAAAATTATCACGACGTTTCGGCCACAACACAAGCTGTCGTCCCGACAGGTCTGTACCTTTCACCTGAAGACGGCTGCTTGCGTTGTGGCCGAAACGTCGTGATAATTTTATTGTGTTATTTTATTATTTTATTCTCATTCTACGTGACCTTACCGAAAGAACCAAATAAGTTGAATCCTATATTCTTAGTTTTTTCGGTAAAGTCACGTTGAAGGGAAACAACAAAATAATAAAATATATATAAAACAATAAAAAATTATCACGACGTTTCGACCATAACTCAAACGGTCGTCTTCAGGTGTGTTGGTTTGCATAAATTTATTTTTAAACGGCGCATTTATTTATTTATAAAAAACGTTAGCGCCACGCGCAACGATTTGGCAGTTTATTTAGGACTAGTCCATCTATATTCTGAAAAGAGGAGGGGGGAGACGAAATTTTTTATAATGTATACTGTCTGAAAGCCACTGTAAGCGTGAACAATCAATTAAGACCTGAAATGGTTTATCAAATCTTTCCAATGATTGCTAAGATAGAATCCATCTTCTCGGTTGAAATTGTCTCTGTGCTTGTATATGTGGATAGCCTCATGAACGAATCTCTCATGGAAGCCAGATGGCTTACAAATAACCTCCGTCTTGGAAAAGTCAATGGCATGTGAGCCCACTGAATTAGAACAATGATCTGCCACGGCCGAGGTGTTGGTCCTACCGTGTTTAAGGTCTGCTTTATGTTCACGAATGCGGTCCGAGATATGGCGTTTGGTTTCTCCAATGTAACTACTACCACAGAGGCAACTTAGTTTGTAGACACCAGGGTATTGTATGTCCGGAATCACATCTTTTACAGATGAAACCAGATCACGGATTTTATGTAATGTGTTGAAACGGACCTGGATCTTGTGTTTATTCAAGATTTTGGAGATCTTTTTTGTGATCCCCGCAATGTAGGGTAAAGTGATGGTTTTGAAAGGCTCCTCAAGAGGATTCTAAATGCGCCGTTTAAAAATACATTTATGCAAACCAACACACCTGAAGACGACCGTTTGAGTTATGGTCGAAACGTCGTGAGAATTTTTTATTGTTTTATATATATTTTATTATTTTGTTGTTTCCCTTCAACGTGACTTTACCGAAAAAACTAAGAATATGAATTACTGCAGTCACGAAAGCTTTAAGTCATAAGTTGAATCCTGTTGTTTATGCTCTTTTATTTTAAATGAGACAAAACGCTTTTTCTTGATGATTGCCTGAGTTGCGATCAAAACGTCGTGATCTATTATTTTTCTATCTACGTGACTTTACCGAAAGCACCAAAGGGCATGCTTTTTCTTGTGTCCACCCTACTTGCCTATTGGACCCTCACACACCCAGAGCTAAACATTGGCTGTGAAAACCTGTGTGAAGTTGTAAATTCCCACTGCTCATTCCATTATCTCATCTTGCATCAATGTACAAGTCTCATGCCCTGCAGTTAAAGAGCGAGGCGAGTTTTACACCATTTGTTTGTACACACCTCACACACGAGGGCTGCAAGCAATGACCGAATTCCCTAAAGCTCCGTTTTAGCCGACACTAAGTCATGTCGTTACAAATATTTTAAAAATATTTTTGCTTACACGTACAGGACAGTTAGAGACTCAGATGATACGAGTTACAAAAGCTCGTGGCCAAATCGCCGAGAATGTGCCCGGCTCGTTCTTGCCAGATCTCAGAAGCTAAGGAGATATGAGCCTGGATAGTTGTTGGATGGACAACCACCATGCACAACAGATTGTTATAGTGAGAATTTTATTGTTTTATATTTTTATTATTTTATTGTTTCCCTTCTACGTGACTTTACCGAAAGAACCAAGAATATGAATCCCTGCAGTCACAAAAGCTTTAAATCAAAAAGATTGTTATAGGTTATGGGGCTACAAAGATTAGCAGTAGAGGGTACCAAATGTATTTGTAATAATGCTCTTCAATGCTCACCTACCTTTGCCAGCCTGTGATGACCAGCAAAGCGAGGTATGGTAATTTAACCCTCACCTGCAATGCATGGCAAGGCCCTCTTCTGACACTGGACTGACGAAATGACAGTCCATGTACTGTACATGGGGTAAAATAACAATCGTTATGCGGCACAAGTGGCGCATCCTATTGGACGAGAATTCTGCGCTAAGCAGCAGTGGCTGGTAGTGTGTGATTTTCACTCTAAACTGTCGTCTTGACTGAATGAATCCAAGATTCATACTCTTTGGTTCTATTCGGTAAAGTCACGTAGGTAAAAAATAAAACAACAAAAATCACGTGACTTTACCGAATAGAACCAAAGAGTATGGATCCTTGCAGTCAAGAAAGCTTCAAATCTAGAATTGAATCCAAGATTACTGATTTTACAAGTCAAAACAACACATCATCCAACTGTTTAAGTTGTAATATAAAGCCCACGGAAACGTCACAATCGCATAATTGACTAATATTTCTTCCTTATATTTCAATTGGCATTCATGGAGGGTGGTGCAGTGGTAACACTCGTGGCTCATGGCAAAAAGGACCTAGGTTCAATTTCTAACTTGGGTGCTGTGTGGACTTGGTATGTTCTCACTGAGATCTGCATGGGTTTCCTCCAAGTCGAAGGGAAAAATAAAATAATAAAATATATATTTTATTATTTTATTGTTTCCCTTCAACGTGACTTTATGGAAAGAGCTAAGAATATGAATTACTGCAGTCACAAAAGCTTTAAATCAAAATTCCTCCAAGTTCTTCGGTTTCCTCCCATCGTTAAAACAATGTAAACATAACAATGCTGGAAAGTATATGAAAATTACTGAATTGAGACTACACACAGCAGCAACATTGTCCCATACTGCGAAAACTTTGCAGGACCCTCCTGAAAGAGTTATGCGACTGTGAGGCTTTGCTGGGTAAGCAAGTCAAATTACTGCGCTTTTGCTTCACCGAAATTGAATTCTCCAGTGGCGGTCGCATGTGAGGCCTGAGGATACGAGAGCGCTTAACGATGTAATTACTGCGCAAGAGAGTGAGCTCCGCATGCAAAGAACCCGAGCCGCCCCCCTGCGTGGCCATATTGCGGAGTCACACTTGAGATATATATATAAAATGCGCAATTCAAGTAAATTAATATAGAAAAGTATAGTATTATTTGTATACATATTTTGGATTGGCACAGCTATATTACTATTGGTTAAACTTTTCAAGTGTACTTTCAATCAAAAGCAATTATACTAGAAACGTCATCCATTGCAACTTTACGCTTAACACTTGGTTACTGCATAACTCTAACACTTTATCCAGTTGCCTTGAAGGCATTTCTGTACATTGGGCCTGCTGCAAGTACAGGGAACTACAAATGCTACTCACGTCACCAAAATGCATCACTGCAACTCTAGAATTGGAAAAAAAAAACCAAAACACAAAAACATTCAGTTATTTTTTTTTAAAATCCCATTTCCTAATGATTAACACTGCAACAAATAAATGTAGCTCAAAGATACAGTAAAAAGATCTACCCTCGTCCACTTGTGAGTTGTGAAACCAGTCGCATGCCGATGTTGCGGAGAGCAATTGCACTTTAAAGTACGGGCGTCGAGGTTGTCATTGCCTGGCTTGCCAGAATGCAGTACAGCAAGCGGATTAATCTTCATCTGTTTCCATCTGTACGGAACATTGTTGCCTTCCCCCCAACCGCCTTGCACACGTGGGTTTCTCCGGGTGATCCAGTTTCCTCCCACTGTACAAACACTCCACTGGTTAAAAACATTTTATAGAAGACCCAAGAGATTGAGCAACTAATGATAGTGGCGGCTCACCACGTTGCCTTTCCACTCGTCTGTGGTTCCTCCTCACGCATCCAAGTCCTTCTGTCTTTAAGAGCGCGCGAATACTGTGCATGTAACGAGTCTAAGTTATTATATGAATGAGAAGTAACCAAAGGCAATGGGTTTCTACTTATCCTCTTGAGTAGGCCTTTCTTTGCAGAAGACCCAGGTGTTTAGGATTCGAGTTGAGGAGAGTAGAAGAACAAGCAACTACACTCGTCAACAGGCCACAGCATCGTGAAGTGCAAGCACAGGGCTGAGTCAGCGTGTGGCTCACACGCATGCCGATGTGTTTACCCTCCAAGAGCCAAACTTTTGCCATCAATTCCATCTAAACGTCTGTATTTGTGGCTTTGCTGCTCAAATACATTTTTTCCATTACACATTTTCCTCTGTGCGGCGTTATAGCCCAAAACCTAAACACAGCATAAAGTCGCATATCCGAAACTCTGGAAACCGAGGCCTTGGTAGAAATGTGAATAGATAAGACGAGTTAACGGCGATAGAAAACGATGGTTATACCGTGCACACGGGGCAGTGATGCGGCCCAGCGGGAGTGCGTTTACCGCTTGTTGCAGAGATTCGTGGTTCAAATCAAGCGGCAGCCCTGTTCATTACTCGGGGTGCATTAACCATAAAATGCATAACACTTGGTTCACGGTGGATGTTTAAGGATCGTCTGACGTCATTCAATACGAGGCCATCGCCGGCGCCATGTTCCAAATTTGCCAAATTTTTGTATTTAGCCGCAAAGTACTGAATTGGGATTACACGTAGAAACATCGCCCCCTACAGTGAAACTACTGCAGACTGAACTTAGCAGTGCTTTCCTTAGTGATAGCCTCGACTATAAGGATGGAGAGCAAATACCAAATATACTAGATTATTAGACACAGGTAAAGCACAATCTGCTTTAAACAATGGACGTTTATTAAAAGTTAATGAAAATACAGTACTTTACATTACTACGCAGTTTATAATATACAAGAAACCTCCAAACAAAGTATTAAAATAAATATAAGACCAAAGGTACTCCATGAACAGCAGCTTACATGGAATGGCCTCAACTCCGAACCAAGTCATCCCTGCTTCTCTTTGTCAAGGATCTCTGTGTTTGAGCCACGTTAACCCATGGCTACATGAGCACAGATGTCACTGGGCCAAATTCTCGAGCCGTTGCAGATACTGCAGACAAGGCAGATGACATTTTCCCTAAACTAGGTGGGGGGGGCAGTTAATTGGTCAGGGCGGATACATGAGTCGGATATGCGACATTGTACTGTATGAAAATTACCTGCGACTACAAAAGAAATCACAAGCGTCCATCTGCAACCGACATCTTGATGGGCTCTGACCCACTAAAATACACGAGGCTGCGCTGAAGTCTATGCTCGCTCATCTCAATAACGTCAAGAACATTCCTCCGAGTGATGCTGTGTGAAGCAGTGAACCACCTGCAAAAGCCTGCAGCCCTCATCACAGCAATGACATTGCTCCTCTCCCATCTGTGTTAATTTCTTCAAAACTTCTGGGACAATGTTTTTCACAACTGGGACTAGCGACATGTCACTATGGCAAGAGGATAAGAGGGCGACTCGGTCGTTGCTCTGCAAATGATCTGTAAAATAGCAATTAGAAACCCTGCCACCAGCAATTGCAGCTGAAATTGCTCAGACCCCATGAATTCCCATGCTCCATTCCACTCGCTAAATATGGCAGAATGGCAGAACAGAGACAAAATATCCTATTCTCTTTCTTGTGGAACAAAATATTATCTTTAGTCTTCAAATAAACATTAAAACGCTTTTTTTTTTTACTTCGCAAGTGTCCACGAGGAAGCATTTGTTATAAATGCAGGATTTAACGTCAGCAATGAATGTCGGCTATTACATTCCAAAAACATTTTTATTAACGCGCACACACACACTGCCCGACTGCCAGCGTGGCCAGGAACGTGCAGCAGCACTGACATCTACTTCATGTACAAAAACAGCATTTTTTTGTAAAGCCCTCCACCACATTGTTCGCATGTAGTTTAAAACAGCTGAGCGGCAGGCAGGGCTAGGACAGCGCGGGGTCGGGAACCTGGCTTGGGGAGGTGGTCGGAGCTGTGGCAGCAGCAGTCGCAGCCATCGCTGTCGTCGACGCGTTGGGCGTGGGAGACCCCGGTGCACTGGGGGATGCCTCTTTGCCGAGCAGGAAGTAATTGCAATCAGAGGCCAGATCAAAGAGGTCAGATGGACTGAGGTCACCTTGGCCCGGTGGCCCGAGGTCTGGATCCGGCAGGATGAGAGGGGAGCTCACATACTGCACCACCTGCTTCCCTGTGCCACAGAGGAGGGAGAGCTCAGGAGGTGACTTGGTAGAGGTAACCAAGACGTTCGAATAACACGGATCCTTTCGCTAGCGGCCAGACGAGCCAGAAACTAAAAATGGACGAATGAAACTTAACGCGTACATTTTCGCAGCCAACAATATGACGAATTGTCATGTGTACAAGCGTTTAACACACATTATTATTGTTTCATCACATCGGTAAGTTAAAGAACAATCCTCACAACCAAATGTACCAATTATATATGCGACGTTTTGTTTGAAACTGCGTCAAATATCATTTGGACAAGATTCAGGAAGTCAAAGTAACAATCTAGGATGCAGTACGAGGATGACACTGCAAATGGAATAAAGTGCATGGAAGCTGTCACTGCGGGTATGTGTACTGAGAGCAGCCAAAAACAGCAATCACATTGTGAGAACCAAGAAGATGAATCCCTGCAGTCACGAAAGCTTTAAATCGAAAATTATCATATAAGATTTTACAGTTTCACTCGCACCTGATTTCCAAGAGTATGGAAAAATCCTAAATGTCCGTAACATATTAGTTTCCCAAGAATGAAATTAATTATCTCTGTAGCTCTAAGGGCCAGATTGTCTGAGGCAGCTCAGCTCGGGCTCAGCCTTGCACACTCAGCTCAGCTCAGCTTCTCAGCCATGGCCTGGCTAAGGCTCAGCTCCATCCATATCCTGAGCACGGCTCAGACCATGCTCAAAGCCAGCTTAAGTTGAGCAAGGCTCTGAGCCATGCTCAAAGCCGTGTAGTGGTTAGCACACGGCACTATGAACCCAGCGACCCGGGTTCGATTCCCGCTCACAGCCACCGCCAGTGACGATTATTTGAACTGGTCCTAGGCCTACCCTAGGTCGACTGAGCCTCAAATGGGTACCTGGTGTGGTGTGTAACCATCGCCACTGGGGAGACAAAGGCGGCTAGGCGTGGTGCTGGCCACCCACCCCCTCGTGTGCTGTCCTGACCTTCATAGGCGCTCACTAACAGCACTTGCCCCAACAGTCTGTTAAGGCTATATGAGGGATCTTTGTCTTTGATTGTGCACATGTGTGTGACTTGCTGCTGCTGGGTCCTGCGTGGTGCACACTTACTGGAGTCAGAGACGTCGGGCTCTAGTATCCTCTGCTCTGGGCTGTTCAGGAGCTCCTGGGCAAGTGGCACAACCAATGTGTCAGAAACCCAGTCATCTCATAATAAAGGTTTTTGGGTTAGATCGCGTAAATGTGTTGAAACCCTCCACCACCGACACAGCCAATCAGTTAGGGATTTGTCACATAAACAAAACGCCAAATACTTACTACTTGAGCCCACCGGTGTGTTGAGTGAATCCACAACATTTACAATCTGAGTACGACGTTTCGCTGGTAAGTACATTCAGCATGAATAATATTGGTCTCGAAAGCCTACGTGTTAAACTGACCCAGACATCTGCTGCTAGCATCCTTCTCAGCACTATTTGGTCATTGGATGTTGGACAATCTAATGTAGCTGGGGCCGGGATGTGACCCAGTGGCAGCCGGTTCACCGATTGCTGCAGAGGTTCGTTAATTCGAATCCGGCAGGCCGCCCTGGTTATTACTGTGGTGTTCATTAACCATAAAATACTACGCGCCGTTTGCTTTTCAGCGGATGTTAAAGACCCTGTGACATCATTCGCAAGGACACCATTGTGTACCAGTGTCATGGTCCAAAATTGCCAAAGTCTAAAACGTATCCACAAATCATTCAATTGAGATGAATTAGAAATAAATTATCGCCCCCAATTGGCAGACCAATGCCCGATTGGAGGCCAGGTCCTGATTCACTTTGTGCTTACTGGGACAGCTGACACTGGAGAAGCTCTTTCAAATGTGTTGAGATGGAATGTGATGTAAGTGGCTTGTTGTGACGTCCTGATGTAAGGGAGGACATTATCATTAGACTCACCGAGGTGAGGTTGCCATAGAAATCCGGAAGCCCCAGGTCATGGTGGGAAGAACTGAAGAGCTGTCCATACAAACAGGAAGACATTAAATACTCGGTTAACCTTGACTGGAACAACTGAGAAGGGTTTAGTAGTGGCCGTGATGGTGGCAGTGTGTGGAGCCTTGGTGGTTATTGCCGTTGTGTGCAAGCTTTGAGCCACCCTTAATCGAGACCCAGAAAAGCAGATAATGGGTACAGCACACATTTTAAATGGCAGATGATGAATAAATCACAGGTGTAGACCGACAGCCTTGAAGAAGGAATACAGCTTAAAGGAAGTCCGAGTAGCATGGTTGGCAATGTACAGTGTGAAATAAGTTCAACATATATCGTGGCTTCCAACCTGCGGCCTGTAGGCCACCGGCGGTCCGCAAGGCCATGGGGAAGCGGTCCACGCAATCGATGCAGACGCCAGTTTCCCATCAATTTAATTTTGAAATAAGCTTCTGGTGCAGCTGGGTTGTCCACAACAAACATGTGAGGCTTGACCATGACAATCCACGGGCCCAGTAACCCTGCTAACCACAGCTCTAAAAATTGGAGACCGCTGGAGAAACACATTTCCCCCATCTTACATATAAAGAGCTCACCCATCTAATACTGTTAATGCTTACAGGATTTGAGAGGCTCTACAGCCTTTAGAGTGAGTATATTATCATTTTTATGCTTGTTTACCCTGGAGACTCTTACCGAATCTCATTACTTTTTTTCAGGAGGGTTCTGACAAATTTCTGCACCAGGGGGTGATGATGCTGCTGTGTGTAATCCCAACTGAGTAATTTGCAGTACATTTTCATTGGGATGTTTTGGCCAATTCCAGTTACATTGTATTGTTTTTTTACCTACAGGAAACCGGTGAACCCAAAGGAAAACCCATAGAGAACAAGGAAAGCAGAAAGGTGCTCAAGTTGAGAATGTTGCTGGTGAGGCAGGAGCGTTAGCCGCCCTGCGCCGCCACCACCACCGTGCCGCCCGCAGGTGGAGCAAGCCGACGATAGCGGTGTGGGTGGAGGGTGGTGCGCTTGAGTTCGTACGTCGTGCAGAGTGAGGGACTCGTAGCTCAGCTGCTGGCTTGACAGCAGCGCCTGCAGGTTGTCCAGGCTCGCGTCGATCGTCTCCAGGTGGTCGGAGAACTCCCCCCTGCAGCACACGCGCGCACACCGCACGTTGTGCCCCGCGACGCCTCACAGATCGCGCCGTTGGCACCTTATACTACTTCAGGTTTTAACTGTAGAACACCTTGGCTATGTAGCGGTGGTAATGTAGCAGAGCGGTAGCCGGTTCGCTGCTTGCCGCAGAGGTTCGCGTATTAAAATCCGGCAGGCAGCCCTTGTTAGTACTGCAGGTGTATTAACCGTAAAATACTATTACTCGTGCCGTCTGTTTCACGGTGGACATTAAATGATCCCGTAATATCATTCAAAATGAGGCGGCCACTGTATGCCGGCAACATAGTACAGCTATACCAATTTGGAAACGTGACACAGCAAATTACTCAACTGGGATTGCACAGAGCAACATCGCCCCCTACTGACAAAAACAGGCAGGGCTCTTCTGAAAAATAATTTTGAGTGAAGCTTTCCTGGGTAAACAAGCAAAATAAAATGGTGCGTATTATGCATTAAAATATATCAGACCATGTTATTTTGGACTCGTCACCTGCCAAAGAAGACTGACAGCTTAACCAACCACTTAGCATGATCGAAGCTCCAAAAAGACAAACATATTCATAACCAGGTGAGAGCACCTTTTCAAAGGCGACCTCGGGCACAAATACAATGGCAACGTGCACAGAACGCCAACTCGCATTACAAACACAACCACTCTAAAAACACAGAAATGAGAATTCAACATCATCAGCAGAACATGGCTACACCATTACAATTGGTTCAAGCACTGAATTTTATGGCGTCAATGTCACCTCCTTTTCTTTTATTCAGGCCTCTCTTGGAAACAGGGAATTTCCTCTCCTTGTCCCTTCTCTGACTAGTTAATGTTGCAATAGCCTCCGTATCCTTGAACTTAGCTTAACATTGTACGTTTTCACAGCCAATATTATTATTCATAGATTTTTTAGTGAGACCAAGAAATTCCCTGACCACATGACAAGCAGGCAGTATGTTTCCGTCACATATCTGTCTCTCCGCGTAAACAATGGAAGTATTTTTTGCTCAATCCATTGGCTTAACAGCCTTCTGGAATTGCATAATTTCAGCAGTATTAATTCAGTAAAAGCAGACTCTTGACCGGGTTCGACACACAACTCTGCCGCTAGGAACCCTCGACCACCCGCCACAGGAACTAACGAATGTCACACGGTGTACACGCATTGAACAACGTACCAGTTATTATGGTTCCACCTCGCCAGTTAGTTGAAGAACATTCCTCGAAATCAAATGTAGCAATTAGATACACCGTGTGAGCTTAGACAAGAACAATTGGCCAGTACACATGACAATTAATTTGTTTTCCTGTGTTGGGTGATAGAAGGCTCTTAATGTCACAGATTTAGTCAGATCATTACATGGCCCTACCAAAAAAACAACTATTAATTATTCAAGGATGTAAAAATATATTCCAAACATTACTGATAATCTGCAATTTGCTACTAAAATGCAGCTTCTAACCTCCTATGCTTGCTTTGTAATCGGGTTTATGCATTGAGTCAACACTCGCAATTCAAAATGACAGGTGGCTAAATGTGATGATGCATGAATTGCTTGGCAGTAAGTAAAATGACAGACCATTCATTTGCCTCATGAAAACAAAACTGTGATGCTCCATTCTTTAAGAAAACCACCAGCTCATGTCACAATACTGCAGAGGGATACTGCTGTCACAGTTCGAGCATTTGAATTACTGGGCTTCTGGGAATCCATGGGTCACCGCTGCCCACATACTATACATTTATACACACACATACACAAGCGCGGTAGAATATTGTTGAGCACAACTGAATTCAATGATAAATTTACAACTGATATGACCATTGCATTTTCAACACCGTTGAGTTCAGAAAAAAAGTTGCAGAAGTTCCCGTGCGCTCCTTGGGGACAGCTGTAACGCATTTTTATTATTGTGCTTGTTTAACCAGGAAAGCCTTCACAAGTCTCAAGACTTTTTGCAAGAGGATCCTGCCAGGTTTTTGCAGTAGGGGGGAGATGTTGCTGTGTGTATTCCCAATTGAGATTTGCAGGCAATCAGTTCAGCATGGGGATGTTTGACCGATTAGATTGTAAGTTTTTTTTTTTCTTTTTAGCTATGGGGGGAAACCGGCAAACCCAGAGGAAACTCATGCAGTACAGGGGGAGAAATACAAACTCCACACAGAAAGGTGGCCAAGTCGGGAATCAAACCCAGGCTCTTCTTGCTGTGTGGTCCAAGTGTTACCACTGTCAATGTTGATGTTGACAATTTGCTGCAATTCTGAAATGGACGCAATACCTGATTTGTTTCCACAGTTTACCAACTAAGCTCAGGCCGTGTAGGAGGCAAGCGTGAGAACGGGACAGGTAGTGAACACAAGCGATGGAGACAGTGCACACAGGACTGGAGGGCATAGGGGAAGTCGGAGGCAAGGAGGGGTGTTTGCTCTGACCCTGTGTAAAAGGAGGAGGGAGAGGATTGACCAGAGGACATGACCCTACTGGCATCATGAAGCAGCTGGGCTTGCACGGCACTGAAAAGACACAATGGGGGGAAAAAACGGAAGGCGTTACTCCTACAAGATGCCGGGGCAAGTCATGGACCGGCGCACAGGCACGCACAGGGGCAGGCATTGGGGAGGGGAAGGCCTGGACTAAAGCCACCTTTAAAATTACAAATCTATTCCCCAAACTACACCCGAGTTCTACACAATATATTTCAAAAGTGTTGTTTTATGCTTTTATCATTATTATTGCACTTGTCAAAATTTTTCTCAAGAGGGTCCTGCCAAGTTTTTGCAGTCGGTGGATGAGGTTGCTTTGTGCTATCCAAATTGAGTAATTGCAGGTAATCTTTCAGCATTTTAAAGCTTGGCCAATACCAATGTCAGAGTGAATGTACTTATATGTACTGTACATAAACACAATTAAACACAAATATACACAATACAATTTAAAGAGTGATCGATATTTGATGTACAAGTGTCCATCCGTCACGTTCTGGATTTCCCAAATGCTCGCTACAAGGGAGGGAAACATGCATAAAACAAAATAATCTCTTGCCGAGGTCATTCCCGGGAAATTGTGTAATAAGTGTGCGAATATATAAAACATTGTTGTAAATGTCCCTGCTGAAACAATAAATGTATGGATTTGTCAACGCACATGTCTACTCACCATCCACCCCCCCCCCCCCCCCCCTTGGTTGGGCTCAGTGGGAATTGTCCAGATTTTAGGGTCAATACATGAGGTAGTTATGGTTGTGATTATATTGTGGCGGTTATGGTTACATTGCAGCTGTTAAATTTTGATTTAAAGCTTTCGTGACTGCAGGGATTCATATTCTTGGTTCTTTCGGTAAAGTCACGTAGAAGAGAAACATTATAAGAACCATATGTGGTCTGGTTTTCACACCTGATGATGATTGCTTGTGTTGCAGTCGAAACTTCGTGATAATTGTATTGTTTTATATGTTTACTATTTTATTGTTTCCCTTCTACGTGACTTTACCGAAAGAACCAAGAATATTGCAGCTGTTGTTATTATTTTGTGGTGGTAGTGGTTATGTAATAATTATGGTTGTGGATATGGTTCTTATAATGGTTGTGGTTGCATTGTGTTCTGAGCTGTGGTTGTAAAATAGTTTTACGGCTGTGTTGGTAACATTTATACAAGTGGTGTTGGTGATTTTAACACATAGGCTTTCGCGACAAATATTATCCATAATACAGAGTTTTTTTGGGTTAGATTGCGTAAATATAAATGTGTCGTTAAAGAAAAATGTGTCGTTAAAAATACAATGATGCACAAATCAACAGGGCACTGAATGCCAAAACCAAATCAAATAGCACAGGCGTTGAAACGGACCAAGTAACTGATAAACGAGGCAGATTTTTGAAAAACAGATTTGGCACGGGACATAAAATACAGAAACTAATATTTGGTACTGAAGATGTATTACCGAAGTTATCAACAGAAGGTGTGTACTGGATTCATTGACCTTGTGGTAATTGGTATGTTGGTCAGACAGGACGAATGATTAGCATGAGACTAAATTAACATATTCTTTGGGTCTTTCGGTAAAGTCACAAGCGGTCGTCATCAGGAAAAGGGGGTTAGCTTCTAAAGGCAACTGTTTATAAAGGTTTGAAATGGGCGTAGCCCAAATGTCAGCAGCATGGGCGGGGCAGCAAATGTTAATGTGAGTGGTGGACGGCGACTGCGACGGTGCTGGGTTTTACACCAATTGGTCCTACCGTGTTTCAGATCTGCCTTATGTTCACGAACGGTCTGAGACATGTCGCTTAGTTTCCCCAATGTAACTACTGCCGCAGACACAGCTTAGTTTGTAGACGCCGGGGTACTGCATGTCCGGGATCACATCCTTCACAGATGGGATCAGATCACGAATTTTATGTACTGTATTTGAAGCTTTCGTGACCGCAAGGATTCATACTCTTTGGTTTTTTCGGTAAAGTCACGTAGGTAAAATAAAATAAATGAAAACAACTAAATTAAAACACGATGTTTCGGAGGCAACACAAGCTTCCGTCTTCAGGATTTAATTCATTTTATTTTTCGATTTAAATTTCGATTTAAAGCTTTCGTGACTGCAAGGATTCATCTTCTTTGGTTCTTTCGGTAAAGTCACGTAGAATGAGAATAAAAGAATAAATTGATAAAATAAAATAACACAATAAAATTCTCACGACGTTTTGGCCACAACACAAGCGGCCTTCATCAGGTGAAGGGACGAGACTGTCTGGAGGACAGTGCTAATGAAGCCCTCCAGCGCTGTCCTCCAGACAGTCTCGTCCCTTCACCTGATGAAGGCCGCTTGTGTTGTGGCCGAAACGTCGTGAGAATTTTATTGTGTTATTTTATTTGATCAATTTATTCTTTTATTTTATCTACGTGACTTTATGTACTGTGTTAAATCGAACCTGGATCTTGTGTTTGCTCATGATTTTGGAAACCTTTTTGGTGACCCCTGCACTGTATGGCAAGGTGATGGTTTTTATTGGGTCCTCAGATGGTTCTTTCTTAACAGTTGCGGTGATAGCTTTGCGTATTGTGTAGTCTGAATATCCATTCATCTTGAGAGCTTGGTATACATGTTCCAGTTCACTGGCTAGGTGATGGTCGGAAATACTTCGAGCTCTATGGTGTAGAGTTTTGATGAGGGAATTCGTCTGGGATGGATGGTGGTGGGAGTCAGGTTTTAGATAGGCATCCGTATGGGTGGCTTTCCTGTAGACAGTGTCCCATTGAGCCATCTGGTCTATTTTCGATTAAAACATCCAAGAATGGTAGCTTGCTATCCTTTTCCACCTCCACAGTAAATTTGATGGCTGGGTGTATGGAATTGATGTGGTTGAGGAATTGGTTCAGAGTTGGTCGGCCATGTGGCCAGATGACGAACGTGTCATCTACGTACCTCTTCCACAAGGACGGACGTAGAGTGGATGCCTGGATGGCATCTGTCTCAATTTTTTTCCATTAAAACATTGGCTACAACTTGTTTGTAGAATGTTTCATTCCAGGTGAAGTGTTGGTGAGGCAGTGTCTCACCAGGGCCGGTACATCACCATTCAGTCCTTGTTGGACCAAATCTTCAATGATTGCAATGGTGTCAAGCACAGGAACTTTGGTAAACAAAGAGACCACATCGAAACTAACGAGCAAATCACCTGGAGAGGGTGAGATGTCCTTAATTGACGATACCAAGTGAGTTGGGTTAAGCAGAGCTGAGGTAGTCTTGCCAGTGAATGGTTGTAAGATCTCAGGCAAAAATCGGGCCAGTTTGTAGGTGGGTGAGAGTCAATGGGTGGTCTAGCAGCAGAGGGTTTTAAGGAAAACCGCTTGGTTGGTTCGATTAAAGATGTCGAATCGGTGATGATATTTGTTGGTTTTCGTAACAAGGCTATTGGTGGGATCTCTTTTCATTTGTATATAGCTACCATCATTAAGTAGGTCCTGAATTTTGTTGTCGGTGGTTTTGTCCATGATGACTGTGGCATTGCCCTTGTCGGCTGAGAGAATGACGATGTCATCTCTCTTTTTAATTGAGAAAGCTCAAAGTGCTCATCCTTAGTGATGTCGCTAATAGGCGTCTTAGCGTTTTTGAGGAACACCAAAGGAATATTAAACTCCCAAACACAACTGTTGGTGGTGGCAGAACATGTGTGCCAACAAGGACACTCAATTGATTTTGATGTTGAAGTCCTGTGCAAAACTAGTTACTACTGGCCAAGACTTATTATAGAATCTATCGAAATTTAGAGAAATAAAATTAATTTTAACCTTTCAGATAGCTACAAGCTTAGTGGTGCTGGAAGCGAATCATTAAGTAAATACAATGTTTAACTGCATGTCTATACAAGTCACCATACGTCCATGGTGATTACCTGTGAGCAGACAATAACAGCTACTGCTATTTTGACGCACACAAACGACAGGATGTACAAGAACAACGTGCATGCATAATGTACGTTGATTACCATATGAATAACCCAACCGGTAATGGATAACCATTGTAATTTATGTACGTTCATTAACCCCCCCCCCCCTTTGGCCTTCGCACGTAAGGGGCTCACATGTGACGTATTCACATCTATCTCTCTATTTAAGAACAAAACAGAATTTCTCCACAAATCTGGCAGTTGCCTGATGATGCTAGTTGTAATTACTGGCGAAACATCGTACTCAGATTGTAAATGTTGTGGATTGACTCTCCAACACACGGGTGTGCTGTACTAGTAACGAATTGGCATGTTCTGTTTACGTGACAAACCTTACTAGTTGGCTGTCGGGTGGCGGCGGGTTTAACGACACATTTATATTTACGTGAACTAACCCAAAAAAAAACCTATATTATGGTATTGGTGATATTAACATTGATATTGTTTTGATATTGTTATTGACATGTCTTAATGTTATTGACATAAACAATATTCTTGTTGTTGATGTTAATGTGATTAATGTGGTTGATTCTGGTACTGTTTATGTCAAATCGTTGTTGGTGTTGATGTTGTTAATTTGTCATATTGTTGTTTATGTTTTTGAGAGTAGGCCAGCAAGCACCAATGAGGAACAAACAGCAACTAATCCACATCGCTTGCATTTCGCTTGAGTTATATCCCGTGCAAATGCGAGGCTAGCGCAAGTACAGATATAGCAAGCGACAAAATCCAAAGTACAAGAAAATCTCGCCGAACGTGTTTTTTTTACCGAACGCCTGTTTCGGCTTTACAGGGTTTGACACTAATATTCTTATCTTAGCATCGAAAAGCAGTGCACAGTCCTGTACTGTATATGCTGCGTGGTCTGATTGAACTGTAAAGTACTGTCTTTACTGCAGAAAAAAGTCCATCGCTACGTATTTTTCGAAGGCAGACCTCACCACTGGCACGCTACGTCAGTCAGCCCCACTGCCACCATCGTCAAATCACTCAGCCTCACGTACTGTACACCTAGAAGCTCTCCAGGTAGCTTACCCTTTCCTCCTAAATGCTCCCACTGGTCTGCAATTTAA